AACTTCGACAATTGCGGAACTAGCCAAACGTCACACCCATGTTCAATCCCTAAAAAGATGGGATGGAATCAAAGGATTCAGTCTTGCTAGGATCACCCTGGGCCACCCTGGGAAGCTGGCGCCGAAGAAATATCTGGCGATGACCAAGAAAAATTTACGCTTAACAGTAGGATTTCTGACTGGCCACTGTCAACTAAGGATACACCTCCATAATATGGGGCTAGTGGACACACCTCTATGTAGGATGTGTAGGATGTCCTATGCGAGTGTCCGGAGTTATCGTCAATAAGACAGTGTGTGTTCGGCGAGTCTTGGACTACACCTGACCTAAGTACAGTGGGCCCACACTCACCCTACCTACTCTATAGATACAGATACCATTTCTATTGTTGAGCAGCGTATTTTGTTAAAAGTCACCTATCTGAGAAGTGCCGCATTTGAGACCGAATCAGAATACAGTTCGATATGCATCAGATCAGTATTCTTTCCAGTGAATAGATATACAAGACAGCGATCCAAAAAGACAATATCGACAAATATTGGAATATGTGACGACCGTCTGAGGTAATAAATAAAGCAATTGGGGGATAAATTCGAAGTGAGTCTCACGTTCGAACGTCTGTATACTCACTCGCGCTGAATTATGATAATCGTTATTGGAAAATACCAGTTTCATATCAATGTCCTACGCCTACTCTGTATCTTGATACAAAGGATTTATAGGCAAAGAGAAACATTGAAATATTTTTCGGATTCTCGGATTTAAAAAAGCTCTGAGTACTTTTGGATAACGTTTAATCTTCAAAATAATTATACGAGTATTTGATATGTGTGATTGATGACGTGTTTATTTTGTAAAAATTTATGATCACTTTAATGAAATGGAAAAAAAACACTTTTGTCTAATTTCCATTAATTATTTTATTTTTACGACCGGTTTCGTATTTTACCCCATTATCTAATATATAAAAATGGATGTTTGTTGGTTGGTTGGTAGATGATAAACTTCCACATCGATCAACCGATCGTGATGAAACTGGACATGTATGAGTAATTTTTCATAGAGAAGATTTTTAGGCTATCAATTTTTCTGTAACTCGCCACTAGATGACTTTGGAGAAAATATTGTTTATTNGAATACTTGATAATATTGGATAGAACCTATGAATTATTTTACTTGAAACACATTAACTGGTTCAGGAATTTTCAATATAGCTTCAATTTTTTCACTTTTATACGAACCGTTCCTATCAGTTCTAAATATTCTATTGAGTCTCGAAAATAAATACATTTTGATTTACTAATGGTCAACTCACAATTTTGATATCTACACAACACCAATCTCCACGTTTCTACATGTTCCTGCTCACTTGCCCCCGTAATTAAAACTGCATTCAGGAAGCAGCACACTCCCAATGGAAAAGCCCAGAAGAGCGAAGACCGAAAAAAACATGCCAAGTTCGATCAAAGTTTTAATCGCCGGTTTCTTCAATTACCGTAATTTTTTGCCCGAAAACAGCACCGTAATCATGCCTCAACCACCGTATTCACCAGATTTAGACCGTATTCAGCAGATTTAGAACCTGCAACTTTTTCCTTTCCTTCATACTGAAGAGGCCCATGAAAGGACGGCGTTTTGTGACGATTGAGGATATTTTCTTTCAAGACCACAAGCACTACAGAAAAATCCTTAAGGCGCTCTTAAAGCGGTGCCTGTACGAAAGTAGTGATTTACATTGGATTTGAATGGCTGGATATTGAATCTATTTGGAAAAACGTTATCAGGAAGTTTATTCCACATAAACGCCGTTCTCCAAATGAAAGAGTTTTTGAACAGTGAAGTTCGAGGTATACTGAGTTGAAAATTATAACAATGAGCAGCCATAGTCTTTGGCGTATTTCTGATATATACTGCTCTTGGTGGCATCAAATGTGCCAAGTCACTTGAACACTTCCCGTGAGAGTATCTATAGCAGAGAGAATCTCCAACCTTTCTTCGACGTTCCAAACTATCAAGGTTGCAAGTGATGTTCTCGTCTCCACTCAGGCGGTTGGCTCTCTTCTGGATGAAATCCAGCAGCTTCAGGGTATGTTTAGGGGCAGAGCTCCATACATGAGAACAATACTCCAAAGAAGGTCTGATCTGAGCTTCATAGAGCATGAAAATTTGCTGATTTTCTGATTGATTCGGCCGTTACTTGATGAAGATCCATGGTAATTTCAAAAACTACAAGTTTGTGGAGTTCAAATCGTGAGGTGTAGTTTTTGAAAATTTGCAGAGGTGTATACAGTTTTCTGGTTCGGAATTGTCTGATCTGACATTATTACAAAAATTTTTTTTTGTGTTGCCCTGGATATTTTTGCAAATTTTTATGTTTTCGACTGCCTAAATCACGAATATATTTATGAAAGTACTGAATGTGCTCTATTTTTTATGATTTTTACGTATCTTGTATTTTTAATAATAATCGGCTCATTACTAAAAAAAAATTATTTTCTCATCACGTGATCCCCACTTCTCGGGCTCCTTGCTCTGCAAAACAGCTGAGAACTCAGTTATTTGATAATATTGAAGTACTAACACGGAAATCTGGATAAGTTGTTATATGTTAATATTTTATTTCAATTGTTGAGTGTCCGTTCAAATATATTTATCTTGTCTTTTCAAACATGAGTTTGTCACGAAGGAAGTGCAAATATAGTAGTGATTTATTCTGTTATATTTGTGGTATTTATATATCAAAAAAACAAAAATGAAATATCACAGACTTTGTTATGCTGAATATTTCGGTTTTAAAATGGACAAATTAGATAAATCATGGGTTCCTAATAAAGTTTGTAAGTCTTGCGTTGAGTCTTTGCGATTATGGAATGAAAGGTGGAATATTTGATGTTCCTCAAATACGGCAATTGATGAAAGACACTGATTTTATTAAAGTTATGACTGTTCCGGAAAGTAAAGCTTGGGAAAGTTTTGTGTTGGTAGTCGAAAATTTCTTAGGCAACCATAAAGCACCAAATTATGAAGAAATTGTACAAAATATGCTGAAAAACTTTCAGATTCTAGGAGCAAATATGAGTATCAAGTTACACTATCTTCGCAATCATTTGGATACATTTCCAGATAATTTAGGAAATTATAGTGAGGGGCAGGAAGAGCGGTTCCACCAGGATCTAAAAGTAATGGAAGAAAGATATCAGGGTCGATGGGATTATCACATGATGGCCGATTACTGCTGGTCTTCAAAAAGAGATTGTTCTCTGAAAAATTATAAAAGAAAAGCTCTTAAAAGGCGTTTCATGGAAATATAACATGTTTTCGAAATTTCCCTCTCTATTTACTTCAAAGTGTAATTTTTTTCTAAATAAAACTGAGATTATAAATTTATCTGTTATTTTGTTTCATGTTTTCGAATTTTTGTAATGTAAAATGAGAATAAATATTTAAAAGAAAACGAGAGCAAATCTTACAAAACCATTGATAATTTCATGAATTGTGAGTATAAATACACCCAAAATCAATCTTATATCTAGGGCAACAAAACCACTGTAGACCAGTGTTATTATATCCGGTTCGGAGACATTTGTCTTCTTGGAGAAAACCGATGTCTGGGTTTTTATAGCATTGAATTGAACCTGGTTACTTTCAGCACGATTCGAAAACACGTCTAGGTTCTCATTAAGATATTCAAGCTTCTGCTGCTGGTGAAGATGTGCTTCCGCAGCCGATGTCCTGGGAACCAAATGTAATGACGAGACAAGTGTGCTGCCGTCGGCAAGGCAATATTTTGGGTTCTTGGTTTTGTCCAATAAGTCGTTGATATACAATAAAAAGAAGGTTGGGAACAATATGGATCCCTGGATAACACCAGAGATATCCATCGACAGCCACTTGCAGTGAACATTTTTTCAGGAAGCTGAAGAGTTATATACAAAAATTATCCGAAAAGCCATAGCTTCGAAGTTTGGCTGCCAAACCGTCTTACCACACACGGTCAAAGGTCTTAGAAATATCAAGCGCAACAGGTCTTAACTCTCCATGTTTCTCGATTGCGTTGTTCCAGATATGGGTGACATACAATAGAAGGTCGCCTGGCGATCTTTGTTTACGAAAGCCATATTGATGATCACTCAAGATGTTGAAGCCTTCCAAATATTTGGGGATATGCTGGTTTACGGCTTCCTCCATGAATTTTGATATCACTGACAGCAAAGCGACTGGTCTATTGTTATTTGGAAGAGTTTTCTTGCCCTGGTGCGAGTTCATTTGCGCACTTTTTAAGTACGACAACGGGCACTTCATAAGGTCCAGACGCCTTGTTGATTTTGAGCTATTTTAAAATTCGCCGATTCGCTGAAAGAGCTCAAGAACATACCAAAAAGTACATAGCATGCTTCGAGGATTGGAAAAAAAATGCTGGTACAAGTGTATTATATGTGAGGGGGACTAATCTGAAGGGGAGAAAATATAAATTGATGAATGAATAAATATTTTTTTGGAAAATGAAAATTCACCTTATTTTTGAACAGATCTCAGATCTTAAGTGTGTCCAACAAAGCCCATGCACATCGTCAGATCCCTTCTGGTATGTTTACAGTTCTTGTAGATCGTTTGGCCTGGATATTTTGCTTCAGAAGTATTAGTAATATCTTCACATTGAAAATGCTACTTTGGTGAATGTTTGCTTTGATTGCGCTCACTCCAAAATCTAGACTTCGTTGACAAAATACAGCCCTGGTGAATAACTACCCCAAAAAAGTACAATAAGTTCGCAACCAACTATTAGGCAATTGAGAATTGCATAAATATTAATATTTCTCAACATGTTTATCCATGAATGGTGTTGGAAAAGAAGAGATAAGGCAATCTCTTCATTCTGACATATTAAATTTGTTTGGAACGTGTATTGTTATTGAATTCATAACCATTACATTATCAGGAGATAAGAAAAGATGAAATATTCCATTTTTAGTTATTGTAATGGATCTAAAAAACAATTGAGAGTTTTGACATAATTAAACAGCAAAGAGTGATTACGACGGCAGATGCCGTGAAGGTTTCAAAACATCAGCTACTTCGATTCAGAATAATAATAGTTTCAAGAGTGGATTGATGAAAAAATGACGTTACTTTCAAGTGATGTAACAGAATCGCGCGTTCTTATATTTTTTGTGAACGGGAAAAAGGTGAGTTTTTTATTAGCATCAAGATTAATGCTGCCCGAAAGTATGTTATTTCATCAGTTCGGACTTCCATTGTCTAATATAATATAAATTGATTTGAAATCCCTGAAAAAAATAGAAGATCAACCGAAAATAATTTTATTATAACAAAAAACTGAAATCANTGTTCATTCAACAATTTGCATATAATATTTTAAACTTTTTGATCATTCGAAAATGAGAATGTGTTCAATTTCATTTTATAATCAGAAACTTTCATCAAAGTATTAGGTAGGTTTTGGTAAGCAATAGCTTGTTTTAAACAAAACACTCCACTTTTTTCAAATATCAAAATTTTTAGGAAAGGTTTTGACTTTCTACTTCTGCATTTCTATATATTGAAATGTGGGAATCTTCCAAAGGAAAGAAAAAAAACAATTGATTCCAATATAAACTCTTTACAAGATGTGTTTATCGTGCGAAAAAGTGACTTTCAGCCACAAACTAGAAGGAAACGCCCTCTCAAAACAACTACTTTCATGTAAACATTGCCACGCGAAAGAAAAATACTATCGAATCAACTAACTCAATATAAACATTAAATTACACGAAAATACTTTTTCCTATTCAGTTCTGTACTGCAAACATTCGTTATGGAATTGATTCAGATATTATTCACAGGATTCCTACAAAATATAGTATATGAGAGAGGTATAATTTAACTTATATGGAACACTGTCATCCTCCATGGCGTACATCGATGTTTAGGAATGAGACAGTACGTAATGAGACCCATTCGTGTTTGTAGCTCAGAGTTGATAATAAAAACAGCCCTAAATTGAACGTGTTTTTCTATAAGAGGTTTTCATTCAACTCGAGATACACCCTTTTGCTTTACTTGTAGGCAAGATGAATGGGCGGTCTTCAAAGAGTTTCCATAACTGGTCAGCTTGCATTATACAAGATGATCATTTTTTGATCCTTGCCATCAGGATCTTAAGTAGACTATATAAAGAATGAATAGTCAATTGAAAGAAGGAAAAGTTTCTACGAGGTAATTCAACGAATGTGATTCAAGCATATATTCCTTTTTTAATGAAACGCAAACCTTGGTTCAACAAAAATTGCGAGCAAGCTGTCGCTTCCAAAAATCTCGCCTACCGGCAGTGGCGCAAAAATCCCAGTGCCGAAAACCGAATTCGGTTTGTTAATGCTCGCAACAGCTGCAAACTTAGGATAACTGAAAACGAAGAACTTTTCAATCAGAGAATTAGGAATAAACTGCTTGCCGACCCCAACGGGTCTAGAACCTTCTGGTCGGTAGCAAAATATGTTAATCAAAACTTCACAAAATTCATAGTTCCGCCACTAACACAAGCGGATGGTTCAATTGCAACAACAGTCCTAGAAAAAGAAAATCTACTAGCTGACCAATTTGCGTCCCACTCCACAGTCGATTTTCTGGGAAAGGTATCACCCACTATTCGCACACTAGAATCCACAATGCCGGAAATTACTTCTCGACAAGGTCTAGTCAGGCGAATTCTGGAACAGCTCAATATCAACAAGTCGTCTGGTCCTGAAGAAGTGCTCCTCATCGTACTTAATAAGTGCGCAAATGAAGTCGAACCAGTTTCATGAAGAAAGTGGTAAACCACCATATACTCAAATATTTGGAGGGCTTCAACATCTTGAACGATCATCAATATGGTTTTAGGAAACAAATATCAACAGGCGACCTTCTATCGTATGTCACCCACATTTGGAATAACGCAATCGAGAAACATGGAGAGTCACGAGCTGTAGCGCAAGCTATGGCTTGTCAAATCATTTTCATGTATCTTCAGCTTCCTGAAAGAACGTTCCCTGTAAGTGGCCTTCGACGGATATCTCTCAAATCAAAGCTGGTGTTCCACAGAGATCTATATTGTTTCCAACCCTGGAAAAAAACAAGAATCCAACATATTTTCTGGTGACAACACACTTGTTTCATCATTCCATTTGCACATCTTCACCTGCAGCAGGAGGTTTCATATCTTGATGGGGATCCAGAAGTAATTTTGAAGTGGGGTGTAAATAACCAGGTTCAATTCAATGCCACAAAAACCCAGGCATGGGTTTTCTCCAATTTAATGTCTCCCAACCGAATATAATAATGTCAGGTCAGACAATTCCACTTGCTGCTTCGATAAGTTTGCTGAGGGTTAAAATGGACACCAATATATCTTGGCAGAATCATGTCGCTGGAATTGCAAAAATCGCTTCTCAAAAGCTTAGGAAATTGGTCCAAACCAAAAAACTGTACTCACCTCAGCAACTATTGGTGCTTTATAAAGCTCAGATCAGACCTTCTTTGGAGTATTGTTCTCATATATGGCGCTCCGCCCCTAACAATAACCTGAAGCTACTGTGAATAACTACCTCTGCACAGACAACGCTCTCAGAGCGTCTTCAATAAATAAAAAAAAATTAAAAAATTACAAAATCTCTCGAAATGTACTTGTTTCACTGTTGTCCAATCATTGAAGGTGAAATACGGCGATGCTGAATAACTTTGGCAACCAGCACCAATTTGCACAAACATTTGGAATTAGGTTTTACTTATCTTCAAAGTTGGCTCTGTAGCGGCTTTACTTTGCGTATCATTAGAAAAATATGAGGTTATTTTCATTTTTTTTTTGCAATATTACAAAAAAAAATGATTTTCACTTCAAACTCAATTTTCCTCAAAACTAAACACTTCCAACAGTTCATACTTCTGAAATATATTTATTTTTTTTTACAATAATTAATGCTTTATTTAAACAAATGGAATACATATATCATTAAAAATTGAACAATACCTATCACTAATGAAAGAATAAAAAAATTTATTGAAACCAAAAAAAATATCAAATTCAATAAAAACTAGAAAGACAATTTTTTTATCGACCTTTTTTTTGGGTAATTGTTACCTTCCACAATCTGAAAAAATATAAAAATTATAATGGAGAACTTTATACAAGTGTAGAAGGGCAAACTTTTTAGTTTACCCCGATAAGTTACTGCGTAAAAATCAAAGTATTTTTCACAAAGAAAAATCTTCTATTTATCAGTAACTTGTCGTATTTNAGGTGTAGCCGACGTGGAAGGCATCGGTCACGTAGTGTCCAATGTTGGCATTTTTGCCTTCGTGGTAAACGACGGCGAATAGCTTGTATTGTTTCTCTGTTGGAGACTGTGTTTCCGACGATATCAAAGTCGAATCAAACTTCAAGTCGAATTCAAAATCAAAAGCGTTGATAATCTTCGTGCAACGGTTGTTGCTGTATTTGAAAAACTTCAGATGCAAAATAAGGATAACAGGAAGTTTGCAGAGCGTAATTTGCTCCCACGCTTCGACCTTCTCGTTTGTTTTCGACGAAGTCACTCCCTCTAAAATATTCTTGGAGACAAGTACCTTAAGCGCTTTCCTGACGGTCTTTACTTTATCAATGTTGAGTGACAGGGTGATGAAAGGCTGGGTATTATCAGTAATGTGGTCCACGTTGTGGTGAATGCTCGACTTTAGTTGCTCCCCAAAGATGTGCATTGGTGAAGTCGATCCTTCTGGTTGGATGTCCTTTATTTTTCGATTCTATTATGTTCCATACATTATTTGAATCATTGCTCAAAGCAGAGTCAACGAGAGGTTTTTCATCTTTAATATAATATTTAACCAACTCATTTAGCTCAAACATTTCATCATTTAGTCCATTCGAAAGAAAACCTAGACACTCTTCTGCATCTTGTTGTACACCATCGATCCAGTCAGTCCGCATGTTATGCAACATTTTATAAATCCACGTCGGACCGAATGGGATGCCAGTGTTGATTGAAACTTTTTGGTCATTCTTGGAATTTTCATCTACTCTCCCGTCTTTCGTCAAAAAGTAGGAAGGCAGGTGAACCAACTGTTCCACAAAACAGCACATTCCAAATATAACCGGGGTAGATGTCATTCTCTGGTTCGAAGAGATGTTTTTACTCAGACTGTAGAGTTGTAGAGTGGAGGTCATGCGATCAGAGCTTGCAAAATAGAGTTGACATAACAGTGATTATTTTGATTGAACAGACCCCTAGGCTGCAAGTTTACTGCCATACCGTCGATCATATATGTAGATAGAAATATGCCCATCCTATAACAGTCTGGATCTACAAACTGGTTGGACCTTCTGGAGAGCTTGAAGGGGCATAAGATGAGATTGTCGTTGAACTCGTTTTCGGCATCCTGGTCAGTAGCGATTTCGTCAAAATTGTTGACGGGTTCAGACATAGACGAATGATGGTGGTTCATCGTCGGGGAGATCATAGTGTGCGGGTAGTTGGCAAAAGGTGGAGATTCGGCTGTGAATCACTGCAAAATTTTCCTGGATTTGAACATTTTTTCTCTTCTGCATTTGTCCTTTCATGATGTTGAAACTGCTAGTGTTGAGTTTGCCTGTTAAGTCTACTTCTACAATTTTTTTAGAACTGAAGTCTGATTTACTCTCATTAACGTTTGGATAATTTTTAACAGTAGAAGCTGGGGAGAAATCCGTAGGATCAGACCAGTTTAGTGGGCTGAAGAAAATTCCTTCAAAATTTTGAGAAGGAGAAATGGTGCCAAGGATTGATGCAGCATTTTCTCTCTGAATTGCAATGCTAATTCGTTGTATTAGAAATGATCTTGCTCTAGAATCGCCTGTTACTGTAATTAGTTTTCGACCAATATCTCTGAAAAAATCGGAAGCAAAGGAACCAAAGCTACCAAATGTTCCAATGGCAATTAGACATTCCGTTGTTTCATTTTCTCAGCAGATGTTTGCGAAGTTGAATTGAGATGAGACCGAGCCAAGGTATCAACACAGGTGAATTATGAAGTGGTGATTACCATTTTTGATCGGGGTGGTAATTAGGGGTTGATTTTCACATTTTGTCACCGAACGAATTTGGTGTGTGTGAGAAGGATTTTTGGCTTTGGTGAGTACCAATTATCCTCTATCCAACATTATTGTCGTCAAAGCTCCCTTGATATTGATGCCATGGACTTTTATTAGGAAACAAATTTAATTTTTCCAGCACTTCATAAAGGTTCAATGATTTTCCAACGAGAAATGCATTTTGTTTACTTCACGTTGAAACTTGTTTGCTATTAGACGAATAAGAAGTTAGCTGAAGAAAAATGAGAAATAAAACTTTCTATGTTTTTACATCTTTCATTTGAAACTAATGTTGTTACTGCAGTATCGTCCTATAAGACATTTTTCAACAGTTGTACATTAAACTTGTTTATTGTATTGTAATTTTTCATTGTATTGTATTGTAATTGTAATGGACTGATACCATAAATCTACTATCTCTATTGTTATTTGTAGGCTATATTTTCATTAGGAATGATTTTCCTCAAGTTTTTCGAAAAAAACCGTCTGAAAATGTGGATTTATTCATAGAAGTTGATCAAAATTAGTAAATCCATTAATTTTTGAACTCACTTTCAATGGAATATTTCTCATCCCTCAGAGGAGGTGCACTCTCGGGGTAAAACCCCCAGTATAGTGTCAATTCTGAAATAGAGGGTAAGTACTCATAGAAAATAAATCAAAACTTCTGTGAATATTGATGCTAGTTGGCAAAATATTCGATAAAAACCGAAAAACCGATTTACAAATTCATTGTGAATAATTATGCTGAAGCCTCAAGATCAGAGTTTTGAGGTTTGACAAACCTCATTTTGAAGAATGATGATTATTTTTAGCAAATTTATATTCGAGTTATTATTTATTGAAAAATCAAATAAAAAATACGTTCAAAACTCACTTCAATGCAACCTACATATTTCATCATGTTTCATTTCAAAAAGTAATAAAAAGAATTCGATTTTCTATTGGTTTCTCTTGTTTGATCACTTGCCAATGTACATTCTGTATTTATTTTTCTGAGGACTGTTTAAAAAAGCTCTCTAATGTTTGCTTCTAGATGAAGCATAGTATATCTACATTGAATGAGTTTTATTGTGACATTTCGGTTATCTTCAAAAAAACAGAAAAGTTTAATAATTAATAATGAGAACACAGAAGATTTGCAATAAATATTTGTTCCAAATCATATTCCTTTTTCTAACGTTCTTGCATATAATACTCTTGACAAACATTCGTTAAAATAATCAAGGTTTGTTTTTTCACTGATTTCCAGATTGCTTATTCAAATAAATTTTTATGAGGCCATTGTCAGTTTTTTAATGAAAATAAATAATAATCGCCTTTTGTTTGTTAATAACGAAAAAATCTAAAGTCTTTCATTAATCTGTTATCTAAGAATACACAGAAATAAAATTGTTTTTCATATCAAAATAGCTGAACTTTTATTATGTAATTTGATACTATTCTCATGATTTTGGGTAATTTACTAAATTAAAATTTCTCAAGTTTCCTTTTCTAAGAAAAAACACGCACATATAAACAACCGAACTAATTGTTTTATTATGGACCAACATATCTGCACAAACACCCTATACATATTTGTTGTCTCCACCTATCAGAAATAGTTGTACAAAAAATATTCTTTCTGCTAAGATTTTTCTCGATTGAGCTTTTTTAACGTCAACTTGATGGTTTCTCTAATATCGTTTCATATATTAATTGGTGGAATGTATAGGAAGTTCATCAATTCTTTCTATTAGAATTGAATCAGAGCTGTTATCTTGTTCTTAAATCAAAATATTATTAAGGGAGACATTGAAATGATCTTTAATAAGTCCTGAGACTGAATCTCCATAGTCCGAGTTACCTATATATAGTGGGTATAGTATATCAGAGGTTCTCAAGCTTATTTTGTCTACCGCCCACTTCGAGAATTAATTATTTTCTAGCGCTCCCCATTTTTTTTACTTTACTACATCTTAAGAATCACAATCGCAGTCATTATTTCAATAATTACATTATGTGTGTAATGTGAAAATGATACTTTCTGATGAGGGTAATGTTTTTACATTACGCCATTTTGTAATATTGGGAAAACTTTTATTCATGTTATTAAAACAAACATTTCAATTTGAATTTCAAAACTAATATAATGTGAAGGATAAATTTGATGATTTTTAACAAGTTTGTTAATATCAATCTCGAATTTACTCAGCCGTAAGTTACCGCGTTCGGTAATCTGCAACCGATTTCTCTTTTCAGTTAACAACGTTGCCACAGCACTAAATCCACGTTCACACAAATAAGATGATGGGAATGCTATCAAAAATAGTTGAACACAATCACCACACCACAATCTAGGGTACAATTGCGGGATTGGCTTTTGTAGCCGAAATTCTTGGTATCCATTTTTGAATTTTATTTTTATTTCCTCGTTCGTTATCAGTTCTATGAGTTCTTCTTTCAGCTGGAGTGATCCTGCTGTGTTGACATTTGAAAAAGGATCCAACACCCAGTCCGGTATGTCCAATTTCAAAATGTCCTGGAATCGTTCTGCAAAATCACTGTGGAGGTTCTCAAAATGTTGGCAGTCAACAAGCAAGTCGTCATTGTTGAAGAATACTGCTGACAAATTAGGGAAATTGCGAAACTCTCGTCTGCCGATATTATTGATATTATTCTTGTATAAGAGCAATTTGGCTACAAAAGCAGCAACGACATTTTCTGTTTTAATCAAATTCAAGTCGTCACCCTTGAAGTTGGAGATTGACTTAATTAAATAGTTTATACAGTACGCAATATTATTCTTTGTGATGAGGTTGTCGTGCAATTCTTTGTCTTTGTTTTCCAAGAACTCTACTACAGAATCAAATAGATTGTAAAATCGAGTCAGACGGTGACCTCTTGATAACCAACGCACTTTTGTGTGAAATAGCAATTGGTTGAAATCTTCATCATGAGCAACACAAAGCTGTGCAATGCGTAATCTGTCATTTGAAGAGCTGCTTTGATGATATATTGCGGTGCTTGAGAGAGGCGCTCACTCAAATTTTTCGCAACCAAATGTTGCCTATGAATGACGCAATGTATAGCGAGCACATCTGGAATTTTATTTTTTAAGTACGCTATGAAACCTTTGTGACGTCCTGTCATAGCCGTAGCCATCCGTAGTAGCTGATATAATATTCTTCAGTGGAATTTTTTTCTCATTACAAATTTTTTTCAGTGTATTACATATGGTTTCTCCTTTTGTATCCGTCTCTAAATTTTTGGAAAATAGTAGTTCTTGTTATAGTTTCTCATTTTTAATAAACCTCACATATGACAACAACAATGCTTCATTGGTTGGTAAAGTGGACTCATCTAACTGAATTGAGAATTTAGAAGTCTTCAGATGAGTGCACAATGACTCTTTAATGTTTTCAGCCATCTCATCAATTCGTCTTTGCACGGAACTATTGCTCAAAGGAATTTTTCGGATAATATGTGCCGCTGGTTTATGAAGCACAGTAGTTATTACTTCTTTTATTGCCGGTAAAATTAAATCCTCTCCAATAGTGTGAGGTTTGAGCAATTAGCAAGGAGATATTGTAGGAAGCTCGGAGTCCGTCGTCGTCTTGCTTAGAAGTCGCTGAAAAAAGTTTTGACACAGTTGTCTGAGCTGAGTGTTTCTTTTCCAGTTCTTGAAAATAAGTCACACTTTTGTCTTTTTTATCTGAATGCATTTTATTCAGATGATCTTGTAGCCTTGAGGGTTTCATCGCTTGGTTCGAAAATGTTTTTTGACAAAGAAGGCCCATAGGCGAAGATGGATTTGTAGGATTTTCAATCAATCCATATTTTATATATTCCGCGCTATACTGCCCTTTCTTTTTTTTGCTTCCGACATAGTTTTGCCTTCAAAAATGCAGAAGTAAAGAATCGAGTATTGAAAACTTGCTAATGCACCTCTTCACCACCGCACGTACAGCACTTTACCTAACTAGTCGCTAACTAAATTCACTTGTTTTCAAATATCGTCGTATGACATTACTGGCTGGATGGCGCGCGCGCTCTTTTATATGAGGCAGCGGGCCTAGTACTTTCCAGAACAGAGACTAGAAACTTCTCGCCTCGCATTGAAGCTTACCGCCATCTATTGTACAGTTTGACAACTATATCGGACAGAAAATAGTTACTGTCTAGTCCCCTAGATGGTGTTACACGAGGAAACGCGCGTTAAGCGTAAAGGAGCGGTAAATATTGTGTTAAAAGCAAAAAACATTTTAAAATCAGCCATCGCCCCCCTAAACCGCTTCAACGCCCCCCAATCTTCTCTGTGCCCTTTACTGCTCCCCTATAGGCCTCCAGTGCCAACAAGGGGTCGTTTTCGCCCACTTTGAGAAAGACTAGTATATAGTATGAAAGAGGTAAAATTTTACTTACATAGATCACTATCATCTTCAATGGCGAACATCCGCTATTTCGGAATAAGACACTCGCCTAATTGCCTCCTCAGCACCAATCTGGATAACATTACAAGATGAGGCACATTCATTCCTAAAATTACGACTCCATGTCACGAATGAGTTGAATCTACTCAATATCGATGACAGTTCGTAATGACATTCATTCGCTCACCTGAATTCATCCCAGCCATAGAAATTATGTTCCAATTGAAAAAAGTATATTTTTAGAAGAGAATACTTTTCGGGAAAGAAATATTTCGGCTTTCTTCTTCTCCAGTTTGGAGTATGAACTGAATAGGAAAAAGTGTTCTTCGTATGATTCAATGATCATATAAAAGTACTTGATTTGAAAGTATTTCTTCCTTCATGTAATCAATTGTTTATATGAAAGTAGTCGTTTCGAGGGGGCTTTTTCTTCCAAGTTGTATTTGATAGCTACTTCTTCGAACGATCCACACATATTTTGGAATTAATTGCTTTCTTTCTATTTTTGCAAGATTTTCACATTTTTCATGTAAAGTAGAAAGCCAAAATCTTTTTTTCCCAAAAATGACTATGCTATTTCTTATTTCAGATAGAAGATGATCAAGTTGATCCTGAATGGACTCTCTTGTACTACTTGAGAAGCAAATGTATCCTTCATGACTCATTCTTCAGATCTACTGCTTCAGTTCTACTTATTCTCAAAATTACAAACGTTTGAGTTGAATAGTTTGGTTGCACTGCAGATGTGGCTGTCAAGCATGTTGCTTCCGTTTTCATTGGAATCAGCTTAAACAATAATTTAGATGTATGTGCACGTTAATAATTTTTCAATTTTCAATTAGTCATTCTTTGAGAGAGCTTTCTAAAATCTGAATGTAGGAAATAAATTGTCAAAACATTTCATTGTCCATGATGTAAATTGAGAGGGAAAAATTTTGAGTTCCTCTATCAACTAAGTCAGGCATAAACTAGTATTTTGTAAGAGTTAGAGGTTAATTTTCCATGAGATCACATGAATTGAATTCATTGTAGAAATCCAGAAGGTCCACCTACTGATGAACTAACTTCCGCTCTTGCACTTGCGGATAGAAGCTGGGCATTAGGATCATGACCCCTCCGACCACACATCAGTCTCTCCCACTGTGTCTACATGGAAAATCAGATGTGTACTCAGACCTCAAAAAAATCTATAGAAGAAAAATATTACTTCGTTTCATTATTACTCCAATCTTAAATGTGCATATCACTCTTCATCACGATAATTCACGGTCTCAGCTGCGGTATACCCGATAGTATTGATTGTGGACATATTCGTTTCAACTGAAATTTTCTAATTTCAAATGTCTTATCATCATCGAAACATCAGAGAACAATTATTTTGACCCTGACCTCCCGTAAAGTCACTCTGAATCTGCCACTGCAACGTTGTCCTAAATTCACTAACAAAATGACTCTCCATCAGTTTGAAATCGTTACCAAGAACGGGATTCTTTTTTTTTTCAAAAAAGATCTGAGGATATTTTCTTTAACATACAACTCCAGTACGTCTTTGCGGTACAAAACTGGGATGCGGAGAAGGAGGTTGTGGAGCTTGTACAGTGATGGTTTCCAAACTTGATAGGATGACAAATACAGTCATGTATCCTTTTAATAAAAAATCCAATTCCTTCGATTTTCATCCAAGAAATTCAACTTAACAGCTCTCAGTCACCTACCAGTAAACGCTTGCTTAGCTCCAATCTGCTCCCTTCACGGTCAAGCAGTCACCACCATAGAAGGCATAGGCTCTACCAAAACTAGGCTCCATCCAGTACAAGAACGAATCGCAAAAGCACACGGTTCTCAGTGTGGATTTTGCACCCCAGGTATCGTCATGTCCATGTACACTCTCCTCAGGAACTCTCCCAAACCCACGATTGAAGAGATGGAACTAGCTTTTCAAGGAAACCTTTGCAGATGCACGGGCTACAGACCAATCATCGAAGGCTACAAAACCTTCACGGAAGAATGGGAAATTGGTAGGATCGGCACTAAAGCATCGACTGCTTGTGGTATGGGCGAAAACTGTTGTAAGTTCCAAAACGGCTCAGAAATTGAAGAAGATGTCCTGTTCAAGGCCAGTGAGTTCACTCCATACGATCCCTCTCAGGAGCCAATTTTCCCACCCGAACTTAGGCTCAGTGACAAATACGACAAGGAATACTTGATTGTGACTGGAAAAAGGGTGACTTGGTATCGACCAACAACCCTTAATGAACTATTAAAATTGAAACGGAAATTTCCCAAAGCGAAAATAGTTGTTGGAAACACAGAAATCGGAGTTGAAATGAAGTTCAAACAAATGCTATATCCCATTGTCATCCAACCCGTCCAGATTCCTGAGATGACGAGGATAGAGGAGGTTTCTGAAGGCGCTAAGATTGGTGCAGCTGCAACTCTAGCAAATATCGAAACCTTTCTGAAACTTCAAGTCAACTCTCAACCTGAGTCTAAAACGAGAATCTTTCAGGCAGCCCTGGAGATGCTCAACTGGTTTGCTGGGAGGCAGATCCGCAGTGTGGGTGCACTAGGAGGTAACATAATGACTGGCAGTCCAATCTCGGACATGATTCCACTTTTGATAGCAGCAAGGGCGGAACTGGAATTGGTCAGTCAAAACAGTGAAGTACGAAGAGTGATACTGGATGACAAATTCTTCGTAGGGTATAGAACCAGCATTTTAAAACCAGAAGAGATACTGCTTTCCATTCTTATTCCTTTTACCAAAGAGAACCAATATTTTCAGGCTTATAAACAGGCGAGGAGACGTGGGGATGACATAGCAATAGTGAATGAAGCAGTTCATGTTACTTTCGTCCCTGGATCGAATATTATCGCAGATATAAACTTTGGCTTTGGTGGAATGTCTTTCAAAGCTGTATCTGCCCCAAAAACCCAAGATCGACTTATTGGAATGCCTTGGAACAGAGACACTTTGGAGCTTGCCTTCACCAGCCTACTAGAGGACTTGCCTCTCGATCCTGGTGCACCAGGTGGAATGAGCCAGTACAGAAAATCCCTAACACTGAGTTTATTTTTCAGAGCTTTTCTTGCCATTTCGCAAAAAATCCAGGCGTACGTTCCTACTATTGAAATAGACAAGAAAGAGCTGAGTGGTATACGAGGCTACACCACCCAGGAGCTTAAAAGCTCTCAATACTTTGCCATCCCAGCTAGATCAAATTCAACTGTGGATTCTCTCCAGAAACCAATAGTACACTCATCTGCTTACAAGCAAGCTACTGGGGAAGCTGTTTACTGCGACGACATTCCTCATCAGGAAGGTGAACTCTACTGCGCTTTCGTTCTTAGCACCAAAGCGCACGCTAGAATTGTCGAAATAGATGAATCAGAAGCCCTATCGATGGATGGGGTGCGTGGGTTTGTCTCTGCCAAGGATGTCAGGGAAGGTTGCATTTGGGGCTGTGTCATACAGGACGAGGAAGTATTTTACTCAGATATAGTAACCGCTCAAGGCCAAATATTAGGGTTGATAGTCGCTGACGATCAGATCCTCGCCCAAAGAGCTGCAAAGAAGGTTAGAGTGACCTACGAGGAACTAGAACCCGTAATAATTAGTATAGAGGATGCCATAAAGCGTAAGTCATTTTTAGGAGATCCACAGGTGATGGAAAAAGGTAATGTGGAACTTGCATTTAGAAACGCTCAGCATGTTGTTGAGGGGGAGTGCAGAATGGGAGGACAAGAGCACTTTTATCTGGAAACTCAAGCCTGTATTGTCATCCCGCAACCTGAGGATGATGAAATGTTGATTTATTCATCTACCCAGAATCCATCAGAAGTATCGGTAAGTATTTCATGGAAAAATATCTGGTTCTCTTGCATCTACAGCTGCCTTATTACATCATAAAAAATGTGAAACTGAACAATATAGATTGACTACTAATGATGCTTGCATTTAGATCTTGTAGAGTTTCCTCTATCCAATTAATTATCTATAACCCTCAGTTTGGAATATCTCAATGGTAATCATCTAAAATGTAACTACCTTCTATACATTGTCACTTTTTCTATTGGTTTCGCATGTGCAAGATATTTGTTCCTTGTTAGGCTATGGTCGCTGAGGTATTGGATATTCCACAAAACAAGGTAGTGGTCAAAGTCAAAAGACTAGGAGGTGGGTTTGGTGGGAAGCAGGCCAAAGGCAGTCTTATTGCTCTGCCAATGGCTGTGGCTGCTAGAAAATTCAAGAAACCATTGAGATGTATGTTAGACAGGGATGCGGATATGATGATGACAGGAACGAGGCATCCGTTTTATTTCAAATACAAAGTAGGATTTGATGATGATGGAAAAATATTAGGATGTGATGCCAAGTTGTATGCCAATGCTGGTTACTCAACTGATCTTACACTGGCGGTGAGTAATATTTAGGAAGAGTACATAGGATTGTTCTGAATGAATTCCTTCGCGGAGATGTCTCTTTTATTATTTCATTGAAAGCTGAGTGTTATGTCAATATCCATATTTCAAAAAGTGAAATGTTTTTTAGGTAGTAGAAAAAGCTCTCACCCACTTTGAAAACGCTTACTATATTCCTGCCATCAGGGTTAGGGGTTTCGCTTGCAAAACGAACCTACCATCTAATACGGCCTTCAGAGGGTTTGGAGGACCACAAGGGATGTTTTTGGCAGAGAACATGGCTCAACACATCGCATACTATCTGAAGAAAGATCCTGTGGAAATAAGCGAAATAAATCTATATAAAGAAGGAGATGTCACATTTTATCATCAAAAACTGGTAGACTGTACACTCGGTAGATGTTGGAAGGAGTGCCTTGATTCGTCACAGTACATTATTAGAAGGGAGGAAGTGAGAAATTTCAATAGGTGAGATTGTTTATAGTAAAATGGAAGATATGTTTGGAACTCATTAATGATGAAATTTCTGAAATTAAAGAAATAATATATTATAAATCATGAAATTATAAAACAACAATAAAATTCAATTAGCGCTCCGGGGCAACTTCATTGATTCCAATGGCGCATTTGCTTTTTCAGCTGCAGGAAAACCCGGAAAAACCTGCAGCACCACATCATCTGAAGATCTTGATCTGACAATGTCCTCTCTCTTACATAAAACAAAATGTAGGGCCGAGAGGCTAGCAACGTCAAATCATTATTCAACAAGAATGTATTTAGAAACTATAGAAATGAACATGAACACCAAGAGAACTTCAACAGAAAGGGAGAGAGAACATATCTAAGAAAAATATAGTACACAGCTTTGAAAGGCGCCAAAACTAATCCAAGTCAAACAAATCGCGCGGGAAATACGCGCGAACAAGCCATTACTAAAAGTGCACTGAAAATCAGTACTATAAATGACATAGCAGAAATGAGAGCTTCAGTTTCAATTGATACGTCAAGAAGAGAACTTCGACCTCGCCCCTGAAGATGACTGCCGCAGTTGAATCGCTTGGAGATTGTAAGCAAAGAAGACCACGGCAAAACCCGGAAACAAACCGAAACACCTTCCGGAAAATGCCCGTTTTATGGAAATTCGATCAATGATGTAAAGCAGATAGTCAAATAATAGATATTATTGAAAAAAAAAATGTATTTAAAAAAAAATACCTCCCATATCAATTATACAATTTCATATTTTATAACTTCATTAGTAGAGTCAATCTCAATCCCCTCACATAAAGTACAACGATGATGTAGGTACCTACTTAGTAACTGGAGGGTGAAAACACAATAATAAACATAAAGTTATCATTAGTGTTTCTTTTTTTTATTGAATGTATTTTCATACATATCTCTATTCTTCCGGTTGATACATCTTGGAAAGTTCCTTTTGTTTTCCAGGAAAAATCGGTACAAAAAAAGAGGACTAAGTATAATTCCCACAAAATATGGAATAGCCTACGCCGAACTCTTCCTGAATCAAGCTGGCGCCCTAGTTCTAGTGTACAGAGACGGATCGGTTCTCATATCCCATGGAGGTACAGAAATGGGACAGGGACTACACACCAAAATGATCCAAGTGGCCAGTAGAGCTTTGGACATTTCCACGGAGAAAATTCACATCAGTGAAACTGCAACTGACAAAGTTCCGAACACTTCTCCTACAGCAGCTAGCTCAGGTTCGGATCTGAATGGAATGGCATTGTTAGTAAGTCTCTTTTGATCACTTGATCTCAATAATTCTCTTTCTGAAACGAATAGTCGCAATTTTTTATTTTAAATGCCACCGCTGTTGCTAACAATACTACGTTGCTCTGGTTTATTGTGTACCTATGCTCAAAAAATTCTATTCAGTTACTTAAAATACAACTTGACACTCTGACTGACATTCTTGAAAACAAATAATTTCCAGAAAACACATAAAAACCGTAACATCTGTATCTATAGAGTAGGGAGGGTGGGTGTAAGCCCACAGCACTTAGGCCACATGTGACCCATCGTACACTCTACCAAGGAATTGTCTTCCTAGCTCATCATCCATCCTGTCCTTTCCAAAAAGATGGACAGGTCACTGGGAAACATCTCCTTCATATCGGCAGGTAAAGGCCAAGACTAGCCGAACACACACTCTCTTATTAACGACAATTCCAGGCACTCGCATAGGACATGCCTGACAGTCTCATCTTCCTTTTCACACATCCTGCATAGAGGTGTGTCCACTAGCCCCATATTATGGAACTGTTTCCTTAGGTGACAGTGGCCAGTCAGAAATCCTACTGTTAAGCGTAGATTTTTCCTGGTCATCGCCAGAAGGTGATCCTGGCAAAATTGCATCCTTTGATTCCATCCCAGCTCTTTAAGAATTGAGCATGGGTGTAACATTTGGCTAGTTCCGCAATTGACGAAGTCATCAGGCCATAGGTGCCACTGGATCCTAAAATTCGTAGTCCAACCACTTCCTTGGCTGAAGAATCGACAATGCCATTACCTTTACTCCTGTCATGCCCTTTAACCCACCCCAGGATGATGTTATTATCTACCGAGGCTTTGGAGAGAATCTGAGTAGGTATTATATCTATTCTTCTCCATTCTGGAATAACACTTTTTTGAGATTTCGTAGCTTTTTGATTTTCTGATTCAATACGTTTTGCTATTTCACTCAGAGGGAGGTCGTCTTCTGAATCATGACTATCTTCATTCCATTGTGTTCTAGAAGTTCCAGCAACATCCGCCTCAGCACGTTCTGCTATTTCACTCGAATGTATGTCATCATCTGAATCAACACTATACTTATTCACCTGTATTTCATAAGTTCCGCAATATCCTGCTTCATTATTTCTTCTCCGATTAAATTTTCATCAATGTTTTCCTCATCTGTCAACTCGTCTGTTTCCGGCGGCACATAAACGACATCAATCGAATCATAATTTTGATAATTCAACTCTTCCTCTAATAAAGCACTGAACTCTTGTGTCATCGGTGGTCTCTTCGTATCCCATTTCGAAAACTGACTATAAGAATGAATAATGATAATGAAATACCAAAATCCACATTCGAGTTGTTTACAAAAAATACGAGAAGTCTTCCCTGCCAATACTGATTCGCACTGAACTAAACTCAATCAAGGCTAATAATCGACTGACCATCGTATCCTAGGATATTCCCAAACTTGTCAAAACTCGCATACTATTGCATGAAAATGTTTACCATTATCGGCCAAAGGTGCGTATACGCAACCATCACAAATACATGCAAAAATGAACGACATCCGAAAATATTTACGTAAATGAAAATACACTTTATCATTGAGCATATTTTTCATTACTGTTCAGCATAAAATAAATTTATCATTTTATATTCAGTATCGAAAAAAATAGATTTTATTGGAGAATTACAAAAACGGTCAATTTATAACATTTTCAAGTAAATTTTAGAAATTGAAAAAATCATGTTTCAGATTGAATAATAATATTTTTACTTTTTCTGGATTCTTGTTATGAATATCCATCAGAATAAACATAAATAATATTGATCCAAACCACAAAAAAAAATATGTATAGAAAAGTTGTGTTTACGCATCTTTGGCGGTTAATGGGTTGATGTATGTAGCTGAGGAGATTTGATGTTGACCAAAGGAATTTTCACAGACAAATTAAAAAAGCTGCAGTCAGCGCCATCTATAGAAAAGGAGAAAAAACAAATTGGCAAACTATCGACCAATAGCTCTTTTATTAAATATCAGTAAGGTTTTTAAAAAATAATAATTGTGAATTTTGTTGAACGTCACAAACTGATTTCAGATTCTCAAAATGGTTTCAGAAAAGATAAATCCACTATACTAACGTTATATGATGCCCTTACTGCGATATTGAACTCACTGAACAATAAAAATGAAACTATAGCAGCAATTATAGATATTGAATATTTTGGAATGAGAGGAGTGTCCTTGAAATTGATACACTCTCACATAACAAATATATTTTACTACCTAATAGAAAAAGATGAAAATGGTGAACAAATCAAATCCGAAAAGGAAAAAATAAAAGTGGGGGTTCCACAAGACTCCCTACTTGGGCCATCAGTGTTCATTTTGTATATTAATAACTTGCCTCATATAGTTAATCAAAAAATTATCCAATTTGGGGATGACACTTCTTTAATGTTCCGCGATCAACATGTAAATGAATATTAATAAAACTCAACTCATGAACTTTTCAAAACACTAGATCATGACTACAATACTAGATTCAAATAACATTTGATTCCGGATTTTAAATGATGATTCAGACGACAGTGATCTGTGAGGAGGCCTGTTAGACATTGTATTTCATCCTACTGTAGTCTAACAACTGTTTGGAAGATTTTGCTAGAAGTCTTCATATCTTCTTGCCATCCAGGTGTTCAATGTTTGTTTGGTAAAACCTAAAGCAATACCAATGACAGGTTCTGGTCCGATGAAGCTACTTGTAGCACCACCCTTTTCAAGGGAGTCAGCAGCTTCATTGCCTTCCAGGACAGTGTGGTCAGAAGTCCGCCAGAGACAATTTGTTAAGTCTTCCTATTGAGGAGAGTCGTTTTTGGCAATTTACTACTCGTAACTGGCTCACTAGGGCTTGTTCTTCAAGGACAGTTTGATCCAAGAATGTATACATGTTTCAGCCTTGTGCCACTGATAAGACTTATGGCGGATGTCTGATCACGAATGCTTTTTTATGGGTCATGAGTTTTTTCTAGGAGAAAGTTTGAATCCTGCAATCGATATCGGCCAAATTGAAGGTGGGTTCATGCAGGGTTACGGTTTATTCGTGCTTGAAGAGATGGTTTACTCACCAAGAGGAGACATTTTCACAAGAGGCCCTGGAACTTACAAAATACCCGGATTTTCTGACATACCAGCTGAATTCAACGTTTCACTACTGAAGGGAGTTTCCAACCCAAGAGCTGTGTACTCCTCAAAGGTGTGTGCCTTTATGTTGTATCACCCATTAATATTGATTCCGTTACACGATTATGTTCATCTTATTGATTCTGATTCATTTTTATAGGCAGTGGGTGAACCGCCACTTTTTCTAGCGAGTTCGGCATTTTTTGCGATCAAAGATGCTATCAAAGCAGCCCGTGAAGAGAGCAGCCTTCCTGCTACGCATTTCAGATTTGACGCTCCAGCTACTTCTGCAAGAATACGAATGGCTTGCGAAGATAGCATCACATCAAGAGTAAGTATGAAAAGTATGTGCTAGCAAAAATACATCCTTAGAGTCAATTATCCAGACATCGAGAAGAAGAGGGATTGATGATACATGATGCAGATCATAGCCTCCATCCTTAGAGTAAGATTGTTGAAAACGACCATTATAGGTCGTAGTGATCTTCAGGAAGAGTCTTGTCTCCACCTTCATAGACGAGTTACTATGTCTTCTAGACCACAATGTACTTAAAGTACTGTGCTATCCTAGTTCCGGAATCCTAGTCCCGGAATAATAATTCAGTGAGGAGACATAGGCAGTTGGCCCTGAATTGTCTCACAAGATGGGCTCAAGAAGAAGACGTGAAGGCTGAAATCAGATATAATATAAGCTATGCATCAAGGTGCATCCTGATGACTCATGCCTTCATGGTCTGGTGACCAAAGGTAAATCAAGCTGCTGCTATTAACAAACTCGGCAAAGTGCAAAGACGTGCGTAATTGGAAATGATAGGAACAGTGAAAACCACCACAGTAGTGAAACAGTTCTAGACTGAAAGTTGAAATCACTGTATCCAGAAAGGAAGGAAGTTCTTGCACGCTGATAGAAATGATTCGGGGGGAAGTGTAGCTTTTTATGTGAAGAATCACTTAATATGTACTGTCTTGTACTCCAATATTAGTGAACATTTTGAACAGCTATGGGTGTCCTTAAACTTTCAAACATAAAACTGTTGTTGTTGGAGTGGTCTATCGGCCACCATCAGCTAATATAATAAGTTCACTAAATGAATTAGAAGAAGCCGTAGTTGATTCAATTCCAGAAAGTAATACATTCATTATTCTGGGAGATCTCAATATAGATTTATTAGTTTCCGATAGAAAATGTCAATTATTCAATAATCTTTTTGGCTCATACAGTTTGGTACAATTGGTACAATCTCCAACCAGGGTAACAGAAGTCAGCCAAACTCTCATAGACGTTCTTGATATTGATGGTGTTTCCGATCATTTTGCTATCATTCTTGAGGTCGATATACCCAAAACAAAATATAAAAGTTTGTTAGTTACCGTGATTTCAGAAATCTTGAAGTGAACTCCTTTGAAGAAGATTTATTTCAGATCAACTGGGACAGTATTTATCTTTTAGATGATGTTGATGACATGCTTTCTTTCTTAAATGATAACTTAATACAAATTTTCAATACTCATATTCCTAATCGCACAATTAGAGCTACTGAGCCGCCCAAACCCTGGATGACGTACAATATAAAACTAATGCTTGAACTGAAACAGAAAGCATTCCAACGATACAAAAGAATGAGAACACCGGGATCTTGGAAATACTATAAAGAACTGCGTAATAATGTCTCTAGTGCTGTCCGCCGTGAAACTGTTTATCTCAATATTGTACTTGGACAGAAGAATTCTAAGGCTATAGGAATACTTTCAGATCTTTCGAAGTGCTTCGAGATAATAAAACTCTGGCTATTCCGCCGTTTTTAAAAAATTTGAATGATCTGAATGAACATTTCATAAATATATCAATATTTAAAAAACTGCCAGCCAAGTAGCTGTATGCGAACCATATCACAATCCTAAATACGAACCAGAGTTTATTTTTCATAATATAAACTCGTATGAAATGAATAAGCACTTTAATATAATCATTAGTAATGCTATGGGCTCTGATGAAATCACAATCCGTATGTGGGATTTAGTTTTGTCCCATTTATTAGAATACATAACATATACCTTCAACTTTGCCATCGAGAATAGTAAATTTCCCTCCCAATGGAAGCATGCTAAAGTTAAGCCATTGGCAAAATGTAACGATCCCTTAGACCTATAAGTATTCTTCCTGTCATCTCAAAAGCCTTTGAAATAAAGAACAGATCACAGATTACGTTAAATGAAAAAATCTCATTACCCCGTTCAGTCTCGTCAGTGACGACATATTCAAATCACTTGATGAAGGAAATTTCACACGTCTCTTAATGCTTGATTACAGTAAAGCATTCGATACCTTGAGTCTTTCTTCATTGTCCATAAAACTTTAGTGCTTTGGTTTCACCCATAATGCAGTGTCACTTATTAATAGATATCTCTCCAAAAGGATCAACTCACTTTGATGGTAACCAATCAACAATAGTATCAAAAAAGTTGGTGTACCGCAAGGTTCATTTCTGGGACCGCTCCTTTCCGCAATTTATATTAGTGACTTTCATGAATTTGTTAGTTTTGGTAAAACACATCACTACTCCGATGATACTCCTTTGTATAGTTCATTCAGCTGTAAAAATATTACACTCGCTAATGAAAATATTAACAGAAATCTTAAAAATCTACATAATGAATCCTGTGCACATAATCTTACTATCAATCCAAAGAAATCCCTGGTCATGTTATTTGGTCTCAAAAGTAAAAGAAATATTGTGTGTGAGTCAATGTCGATCCGTGTCAACAATAACATAATTCCTTTTGTGAATAAATGTAAAAAGCTGGGCTTGTGGTTAGATATAGACTTGAGATTCACAAGATTCTATTGAGACAACTTTTTCCAAGTAGTCACCTTTCATCAAAAAGTCTGAAGTTGAGTCTCTGTGAAATACTTATTTTTTCAAGATCAGCTTACTGCGATTGTATCTACGGACCCGCCTTACAACAATTAGATGTAATGCGACTCCAGCGTATACAAAATAGTTGTGTCAGATTTTCCTACGGTATCTGAAAGTATGATCACATAAATCCGTCCTTTCGAGATTCTGGCTGGCTTTCACTCAAATATCTAAGAGCAATCCATTTGCTAAGCAATTATTCATGTTGATACAGTTACAAATGGCATGACCTCAATTGTTTTTGCGCGCACTATCATAACCTAACAAACAATTAACTTTCTGAGAACGTTTTTCCAAATGGATTTGATATCCAGCGATTCAAATCCAAGGTGAATCGCTAAATTCGCACAGGCACTGATCTGAGAGCGCCTTAAGGATTTTCATGTAGGGCTTGTGTTTTGAAACAATTCAATAGTTTTTGGGAAAGAAAGTTTTTGGCTTTATACTACTCCATCTCGATACAAAAAAAAAGAAGGATGAGGAAGTCTTCCAAAGAAAGGAAGGAAGTAACTCTATACATGGATGTGTAGATCATGCAAAAAAGTAACTTTCAGACACAAACTGAAAGAAAGTCCTCCTGAAACAGCTTTTTTTTGTATCAAGATGGAGTAGTAGAAAGCCAAAAACTTTCTTTCCCAAAAATTAATCACTCCTAAAAAATATAACCCCTTCAATTCAATTCAATAGTTTTTCTGCTAATCCGAAAGGAGACAAATCCAACAAATCAAGAATCATCAAAATCGATACAACCGCTTTTTAGTTATAAATATATCAGATATCATACACTGAAGTGTTTTCCAGATGAAAACGGCAAAAAATATTCGAACAACGCCTTTCTGATGTGACCATTAAATTGAACGAAATTACTATTTCTTGTTCAAACTTTTCTCCAAATGGAAGTGAGATATCAGACTCAAAAATGCGTAATACATATTACTTTCCACTTTTTATTTAGAAAAGAAGTACAAAATCAAAAAGTGTTTTTCTAAAAACTAATCTCTCCTGAAAACACAAATGTCACTTTTCACATTCATATTCATGTATTATAATCATTTTCAGTTGAAGGAACCGAAGCCTGGAAGTTTTGAACCTTGGAATGTTATAGCTTGAAAAAATATCGCCAAAAGATTTCGGTGAACAACTGTGATGATTTTGGTGTTGAAGTGGACTGTTGGGAATATTTCCATCAAAAATTAAGAATGAAAGAGTTTAATATGAAATAAAAATACTTCAATGTCTGTATCACTTGTTTTCATCCCACACTGTATTATAGTTTTTTTATTATGGATTCAGTTTTGAGTATCATTGAGTTTTTATTTAGGATATCTTACAAACAATATTATTGTTTTAATGCACTGTTTGAAACCTTTGCAGTAGTAATGAGAATAACTCTGGAGTTTTTTCCCAATACCAAACCGTTATTTTCAACACCTCGATACGTGTTTCGATCACCAAGTGATCATCTTCAAGAGAAAGAATGAACTAAATATACTTATAATGTCCTTATTTACACCATAGATACCTCTGCTCGGTATCTGCGTCTTAATCGACTTAAAAAATAATTTTACAGGAAGAACTTTTTCTGACCTGTTAGACATTCCCAAGTATTTTCTCTTGAAATTCCAGTTGGTTTCTGCTCACTTCCAATATTGGAACTGCTGAGCGGAACACCAATTATCCACAACTGTGTTCATTTACTGCAATTCCACGCAATTCGTTTGAGTCGTGACAAAAATAAGAAATATCTAGTATCAATCGCGATATAACGATATCGGGAAACAAGAAACAGAAAAGGAAGTGTCTTCTCGAAACTTTGAGGGGACAACTGATAAAACGAATGATCGGTAACATTCACTTCACAATAGTTAGAGTTATAGTGAAAATAGCTGTTGAACAGAAGAATATGCCAGGATTTCTATCAACGTTTTCTGGGATTTTCAACTTCCGCAATCTGAAAAAAAGTGAAAACAAGTGTAGAAAGAACAAACGTTTTCTTTCATGCCGATAAGATGCTGTATGAATTCAAAGTATTTCTCCCAAATAAAAATATTTTTTATCAATAATTAGCGACTCGACCCGGCTCCGCACGGGTGCGATGCTGATACTAAATATACTACAGTATGTCTTTATATACAACGTTTACAGTACCGCCGCAACTGATATATCCCTGCATTTCAAATCGGTAATATCTTCGAAAATATTCATTCAATTTACATGCTGCGAGGGGCCATATTGATTAAATTATGGACATATAAGATAAAGGATATATTAAAGATAATTTCATAAACGCTCCAACATACAAAATTTCAGCCTCCAGAAATATAAAGTTACGGAAAAACACTGATGAATAGGTAACTTTATTTTATGGACGCTCTTTTTTCCCCGCGGCTGGCGCCCCAGTTAGAATATTCAAAAATCCTTTCTCATTGCACATCTAATACATAACACGAGCCTAGATACAACGGGGAGTGCCCCAGGTGGAATATTTGAAGATCCTTTCTTAGTGCACATATAACACCTTAGTAGTAAGTAGTTTATTGGTTTATTATATGTCTGTCAAGAAGAGAAGTTGGAATTTTATAGCATACACAGTCTTGGTCTTCAACAAATACAGTCCTATAAGCTCAACAGGAGACAAATGGTGTTCATTGACGACCAAATGAGTTCCACTCAGGAGATGATAAGAGACCTGCTCCAGGAACCCTCTTGTCTTCATTATCCCTTTCAATTATTTACCCAATACTTTTGAAAATACCAATGTTGTTTTGGTAATATACACAAATGACAAATGTTTAATACAAAGTGTGCTCGTGCAATGATTTTACTAGTTTTTTGGGGTGGATATTGACACAAAACTCACATGGAATATACACATATGTCACATTTTACCTAAGAAGCACATATATACCAAATTTCAGCTTCCTAGGACTCACCAGTACGGAGAAACAGAGATGAAGGAGTGAGTGGTACGTTAGTGACTTTTGCATTTATAACTATAAATCTGTTGTATTCAATGATTTTGTCTTTCATGAAACGAGATAAAAATCTGTAGAGATACTTATCTTGAAGTTTCGAAGGTTAAAATTTGCCTTCGTCTTCAGAATGTACCTTTTTCCTGAAGTACGAAAAATCACTCACTAGCAGCGCTAGTAGTTCGGTAGGGATAAACATATGGTAAAGTACAATTAAAAAAGAATGTTTTTAACAGAATAAAATGTTCCTGGAGCAAAACTAAAATTTGCAACTGTAAAGGATAACAATGTTGTAACATTAAAACGTTGGCTTGCATGCCGTAATTCAAAAGTAAATGAAAAAAAGTTAATTAATAGACAGGTTAGTATACAGACTCTAGTAAACGAGCAGCGGTAGATTCAAACTTAATAAAAGAAATTTAAAATAATTATGAATTTCAGACTCATTTCCGAGTGAAATATGAATCAAATATAGATGGTAATGAAATAAATTTATTTAAATATAATAAATGAATATAATTTAAT